TCTGCTTCCCGCCCTTTGGGCTGCTGAAAAGAGGCCTTTGGTCCCGGTTGGTGGCACCAACCGGGACTAAAGGGGGGCACTGGTCCCGGTTGGTCTCACGAAACGGGATCAATGCTTTGCCTATATAACCAGCGCTCGTGAAAATTTGGTTCAGTTCATTCTTCCCCGCCCGCCCGACACCGCCAGGCTGCCCGCCGTCTCCGCCTCGCCATCACCGTTGTCGCCCCGCGCCATCCCGCGCCGCCCCTCTCACCGTCGACCGTCGCTGCGCCGCCCCTCATGCACCGTCGCCGTCGCCGTCCCCTGCCCGTCGCCCTCGCCGCGCCCCTCACGCTCTCGCCATCCCGTGAGCAAAGGCCTTGCTAATTTAATTTGATGTAGTAGTTAATTTAGATGTGTAGTATAATTTAGATGTGTAGTTAATTGATTTAGATTTTGTTAGATTTTTTTTTGTAGTTCATAGATTTTTTTTGTTAGATGTGTAGTAATTGAGATGTGTAGTTCATAAATTTTTTTGTTAGATTTTTGTTCATATTGTGTAATTTGTTCATATTGTGTTAGATTTTTTTTCTGTTAATAGATTTTTTTAGTGATATTATTGTTGAATATGCATGTTTGTATGTTCATATATATGGAAAGATCGAATATGTCAATTTTTTATGATTTTTTTTTGTTCATAGAATTTTTATGATTTTTTTCTGTTCTAATTTTGTTCATAGAATTTTAATGATTTTTTTGTTCATAGAATTTTCTTTATCAATTTATGTTTATGTTCATATTGTGCATGTATAGGAAAATTGTGCATGATCAAAGTCATTTATATATATGTTCATATTTAGAATAGAGGAAAAAGGAAAATAAGAAGAGAAAGTGTTTAATATAATTAGTTAGAAAAATAATAGAACTATAGTTAAACTAGTTTATTTTTAGTAAGTACTACTTTATTTTATTTATAGTAAGTGCTTAATATTATAGTTGAACTAGCTATTTGATTTAATAAACTACTTTATTTTACTATATATAGAAGTAGTTTATTTTTAGTAAGTAGTACTTTATTTATTTATAGTAAGTGCTTTAGTATAGTTGAACTAGTTGATTTAATTAATAAAACTACTTTATTTTACTATATATAGAAGTAGTTCCCGCATCGACGTCGACGATGCCTATCCCGCATCCTCGTCGTCGACTCGGCGGTGGAGGCCTGCTTGATCAGGGTCATGCCCGGGACTGGGCTCCGTCGGGCTGGTATTGGGAGGTGAGATCTTCCGGGGGACGTAGGTTGGTGAGGAGGCAGCCTGTTGTTGACCTGATCTTTGTTTGGTGGCGGTCACGTGGGCCGGTGCTTCCGGACACCGCGGAGGTGGTACGTCACCGTGTCAGCGAGGAGGACGAGCACGTCCGTCGCTACATGGTTGCGTTGGAGGGCAGGTTCGACAATACCTGGCAGGTTCTTCAAGGATCTCACTGAAGCTATGATCCTGTGATGGTTCCTTATCTTTGGGTGTCCACCGCCTGCGACGATACCCGTCGGGCGCTACGGTTCTACCTGTATTAGCGATGCTATATGTATGATAGTATTCGAGGAGTATTAATTAGTGATAATATTCGACGATGTACGAACACGAGAGATGATGTACTTTTGGTTATAATTGAATGCATGCTAATTTGAATACTACTTTATTTTACGATTTGGTTTTGCTTATTGAATGCTCATATTGAAAAAGTACTCCTACTTTGAATGCTAAAATTGAAGAGCACTCTATGCAAAAATCTAGGAGCCCCCTCCATCATCCACGCCGTCGTGGTGGTAGCTTCTCCTTCATTCCCGTGTGCTAGACAATTTGGTGTAATAATGCACTCGGGAATGAAAGGAGGAGCTACCATCACCAATAGTCAACTCGTGATTAATAATAATGATCTAATTTAGGTTTTTTAGTGCATATATTTAATTGTACATGTTTAATATTTGAATTATGAACATAGGCCGGAAATGTCGTACTCGGACGACGAAAACCGTCGGAAGGAATCCGATCTGCAGATGAAGCAGAAGCAGGCAAAAGGCGAGCGCACAGCGAGGAATTTTCCATACTAGATCGACTCAACATTACCGAATCTACTCTGAGACTCTCTTCTCTTCATGGTTGGCTGTAAAAAAAGAGTCTCTTTAGTCCCCAACTCTATGGATTTTACTTTTTGGCTCGGGGGAGTGCGACTGGTGCCACGACGACCGAGGTATGTGCGACAGGTTCCTTGAGCTGGACGAAGATCGGCGTTTCAGCATTAAGCTCGAGAAGATCTTCGATGTTCATACGGTACGCAACGACGACAATAGTTTTTTCGTAATTAAGCACGACTTCAACTATTTTAACGTGTATTTTTCATCTTTTCCAATTCGACTAGCTTATCCCATGCTATGCAAGACGCTATGTTCTCCGTTATTACGCGGACATTTATGATACCATGTTGGATGGCAAAAAAAGTCGAGACACGTCGGTATAAACATTTGCGGCATATGGCCTTGAAGATGCGCTAAGTTCGCTCTTGTCGTCCGGCCTGCCATGCCTGCCAAAAGTATGCAAAGTCTGGGGGCGGTGGACCTTTCTTGGCCACGCATCACAGCAACAAGGACCAACGATACGTACCAGAGTTCAAGTTCACACCTACAGTCACTTGACTTGAATCACGCGCGCGCGCACACATGCACAATCTCATTTCAGATTTTCAGGCATGCGCGCAGTGACCAGATCACGTACGATCGAGGAGAGTCACTAGTAAGCACGTACCGGTGGCGGTGGCCCGAGTTGTTTGACCCCATGCATGCAGTTTTGTGCCCAGCTCGGACAAAGCTACATCAACTAGAGTTGACAATGCACCTAGAAGGAGCAAAATGTGCATGCATGTGTGCAGCGTCTGGTCCGGTGTGTGACGCAACGGCTGCGATTTGGGGCTCGGCGAGCAGAGACCTTGCTGCGAAAATGTTTGCCAGAAATATATGTAGAGTATTTGGCTACATGACAAATCAAGTCGGCGCGACGCGACTGTTCATCTTCTTGTTTGTTCCTATGTACGACTAGCCTGCCTCACTGCCTCAATGCTTGACTTGCTTTGCTTAAAGTTTGACTGCTGCTCCGGCCGTACGTAACAGAATCCATGCATGATGCATGCATGCATGCTCTCACACTCTGCACTACCTAGTACTACTGGTGCTAGATTCAGCAGGATCGACTTGGCCTGTGGCTGGCAATGGCAATGGCAATGGCATGCATGCGCCATCGTTGCTGACTTTTGCCTATACACGTCACTTGTCTATTTTCCAGGTTGGTGTTCTACAACGTACGGTAGTTGCAGTCGCTCGTAGGAAGGATTGACCCGTGCATGCATCCCCAAACCCGCACCTGGAAAACTCACCCGGATCGCCCAGCACCTGGAAGCTAGCCAACCTGGGATACTCCGTTTGCACAAATTAACAAGCTGTTCACTAAGTATTAACAAAATGGTACTACTCCGCATATGAAAATGCAATTTCTTGCACTAAACTCTATCGCTGTCTGATATATATACTCCCTCCGGTCCTTTTTACTCTGCATATTAGGTTTGTCTGAAGTCAATCTCATCCAACTTTGACCAAGTTTATATAAAAAATTATAGACATTCACATAACAACACCAATATCATTAGATTCATCTTGGAATATATTTTCATATTATATTTATTAAATATTATAGATGTTAATAATTTTTAATATAAATTTGGTCAAACTTAGCAAAGTTTGACTTTCGGCAAAACCAATGTGCAAAGTAAAAAGGACCGGAGGGAGTACTATCTGCGATATCAACATGTGTCTCTCCGAATACGTCCACCAGCCGGGCCAGTTCATGTCATGAAAAGCAATGTCTCTACATACGGGATATCCCACGAGTTGACCAGCGCAAAAGAGGCTTCCGTTCGATATATATCGGTTGATGAAAATTTCTTTTGAAGGCCGAGCTCCATGGTGGTCTCCATTTGTACTTTTTAAAACTCATCAAAACTCATGTTTCTACGTTTCAAAAAATTCTGAAACCCATACAGATATACATGGATGCATAGTGTACGTGTTTGTAATTTTTCAGAACTAAATATGTTGAAATGAGGGTTGTGCAAAAAAGAAAAAACCAAATTATAGGGCTTTTCAGCACATGATACTATTCATCCTCAATGTCCATGATTTTTGTACAGGTCGCATTCAAGATATTAATTTCATACTGTATTTTTACACACATATACATTTCGTCCTTGTATACTCGCATATTTCTTTCACTTTTTCTTAAACTAAAGAGTTTGAATTCTGATTTTTTTTTTCAAAAATTTCAGGCTCCATGGAGCCCGGTCACCAAAACGCCTCACTCGTTGTAAGCTCTATATAAGTAGCTCACAGCAAAGCTAGCTAGTGACACGGACACAGAGCAGTGAAGCACCTACGCTCCTCGGACCCAGAGTACGTAGAGAGGCTGACCGAGACGAAGGGAGTACGTATAAGCTAGCACCATGAAGGTCAAGATCGAGAGCTCAAAGATCGTCAAGCCGTCGTACGAGGACGGCGAGGCGCCGGCGCATGCGCAGCGGGTGCCGCTCTCCGTGTTCGACAAGGTGACCTACGGGGAGCACGTCGCCCTCATCTTCGCGTTCCGGCCGCCCAACCCGCCCAACAGCGAGGTCGAGCTGGGCCTGGCCAAGGCGCTCGCCGTGTACCGGGAGTGGGCCGGACGGATCCGCGACGGGCGCCGGTCGGTGCTGCTCAACGACGCCGGGGCGCGCTTCGTGGAGGCCACGGTGGACGCGCCGATGGCGGTGTCGATGCCGTCCGGGCCGTCACCGGAGGTGAGGTTGCTGCACCCGAGGATCGACGGCAGCCCCGTGGAGCTGGTGCAGGTGCAGCTGACCCGCTTCTCCTGCGGCTCGCTGGCCGTGGGCTTCGCGGGGCACCACCAGATCGCCGACGGGCAGGCCACGGCCAACTTCCTAGCGGCGTGGGGCCTCGCTACGCGGCGGCTGCCGCTGTCGCCGCTTCCGGTGTGCGATCGCAGCACCCGGTTCGCGCCCCGCGATCCGCCGCTCGTGGAATTCCCGCACCGGGAGGTGGAGTACAGGGCTCCGGCGCCCAACAAGAAGCGCGACATCGCTCTGGACGACGAGAAGGAGGAGATCGGCTTCGGCGTGGCGGGGCACGACAAAGTGAAGGTGCACAGGATGCACCTGAGCAAGGATTTCGTGGCGCAGCTCAAGGCGCGGGCCTCGTCGGCGCTCCCGCCCTCGCGGCGCGGCTACACGACGTTCCAGAGCGTGGTCGCGCACCTCTGGCGTGCGATCACCGCGGCGCGCGGCCTGGCTGCCGGCGTGACAACCAAGGTCCGTATCTCCGTGAACGGCCGGACGCGCATGCGCCCGCCGGTGCCGCGCGACTACTTCCGCAACGTGGTTCTTTGGGCGTTCCCGCGCTCCAACGTCGGCGAGCTCGTGTCCCGGCCGGTGGGCCACGCGGCGGAGCTCATCTACCGCGCCGTGGCCGGCGTGGACAACGCCTACTTCCGGTCCTTCGTGGACTTCGCCGCCGAGGTGGAGGCCGAGGGGCTGATCCCGACGGCGGACAGCGAGCAGGCGGTGCTGTGCCCGGACCTGGAGGTGGACGCGTGGCTGGGGATCAACTTCCACGGCCTGGACTTCGGGGGTGGCGGCCCCTTTTGCGTCGTGCCGACGTACTACCCGATGGAGGGCAGCCTGTTCCTGGTGCCGTCAACCCTGGGCGATGGTAGCATGGAGGCCTACGTGGCCCTTTTTCACAACCACCTCGAAGAGTTCAAGAGGATATGCCACAGGATCACCTAGTAGCTTAGCTCAAAAAGAAAAAGAAAAATTTACCTATAGAGCTTGCAAGGAGGTCAGGAACTTAATAATTATCAATAGACAAGTAACATGGCTAGATCTTAGTCGACTGAGAATTAATCAAGTCTCAGTCAAGTGACACAACATAAAAAAAAAAGTAAAGCCAACTGGATTGCTAAATCTCGGTCGACTGAGATTTAATCAAGTCTTAGTCGATACTATATTAATAAAATCTTACATGAAGATTCGTGCAATTATTTTTCTAGTTTTTCTTTTTTTTTTCTTACATGTTATGGCACTTGACTTAGACTTGGTTAAGTCTCAGTCAACTAAGACCTAGTCACACCCTAAAGCAAAATTTTACACGAATCGTCATATAAGATCTCACGAATATAATATCAATTGGGACTTCACTAAGTCCCAGTCGACTGAGTTTTAGCAATCCGTTCTCTAATAGAGTTTTCATTTCACCAATTAGGGAAGAGTAAACCGATCTATTCTTGGCGCCGTTTTGGATCATATTCACCACTTCAAGAGAATCAACTTCAATCACCATTGGCAGATTGGACCACTCAAGAGACAGAGAAATCCCCTCCATGCATGCACACAAATTCGGCCTCCAGAGCATCCCTACAAGAGAATAACTGGTGCCATGATGAGAATATAACGAAGCCCGTATGTCGGAGAATCATGGCTTCACCCGCACTACCATTCGACGAAATAGAGTCGTTAGTGTCTAGTTTCGCCCACCCAACTATCGATAACGACCACCTAGGGCATGTACTTTGATCCCTTATCGCTTGTGGCCGAGCTTTCAAATGATCATGAGAGATAAGCCTTTCCTTTTCACCGGATCTACATTAGGCTTCTGCTGAATGTCATCCAGGGAGTCCAGAAAATAGCCCAAAAATCGCTTAAACGTCTTCATGGGAGGTGGCGGTTTATTATGAACCACCTCATTGTCATTATGCCAGCATCTCCAAAGGGTCATGAGGAACACGTAACCTTCAACTTCCTGAAGATTAGCCAAGACCTGGAGAAGCCACTCCTTTTCCGATATTGCGAAGAACTTCCACAATAGGGAGACACCACACCTCAGACATGGACTTCCGCAGTTCTCCGGCCAAGGGCCGGTGATGTAAGAGCATCACTACTAGCAGCCCTGTTAGGGCATATTTCTCTCTAATAGTTTTGGTGATTGATAACAATCCTATCTGCAGACATACCGTGTGCATTGAACATTTCAGATATTCTTATATATGGCACAAGACTGTTTATTCCTCTCGGCGATAGAGAGTGAAGATGGCTTTTCCAGAGTTTCTTTTTCGGCAAATTTGAGTCGTAGAAAGACCGTACTATTAAAAGGGATCCGCTTTGAAAAGGCTAGGGTGGAAGTAACACGTACACATATACTCATATGCACCCCACTAACCATTCCGGCAACATGGAGGAGTCCATTGTTTTTGCTTGGGCAAGTTTGAAGCACTCAAGCGGGAGTACGGTTGGTCCCCCATAGTACTGCTTGGCGGTACTGCCGCAGAGCAATACCATACCCCCACCGCTTGTTTGCCTTATCCTTCCCACAATTCACGGAAGTAGTACGATAGTAGAGCAGCATTACCGCTTGAACATCTCCAACATATGTATACTTTTTTATTGTTCCATGCTATTATAGTATCAATCTTGAATGTTTTATTTGCATTTATATGTCACTACATATCATTTTTTGGGGCTAACCCTATTAATATATTGCCAAGTGCTAGTTGTTGTTTTTTTTGCCTGTTTTTGGTTTTTCAGAATATCAGTAGCAAACAAAGTCCAAATGCCACAAAAAAAATTGACATTTTTTTTCTGTACATAAAAGACCCTGGAAGCTTCGTGAGAGGGCCATAAGATCATTTGCCAAAATTGCTCCCCTAATACGAGAGGCCTAGATGCGGGAAACCAAATAATGTGCATATGTTTATTCTTTTTTTGCATGTTTTTCCTTCAACCAGGCTCCATTGAGCCAAATTGAGCTAGCCAGGCCCGACTGATATGGCTACCAAACATGTCCTTAGAGCATCTACAGCCGGACCTGACAAATCCCGACCACTATATGTCCACGGACACATGCGGACGGGCCCTCATATTTCTCTCCCAGCATCCACATATGTGAAATCCGGACTCTCAAATTCATGCAATTCCATGCACGTCGATCATACAAGCCAATGTCGCCCATAAATAACAAATGTTGGTACCGAACATAAATAGTGTTTACATAAAAATTATTTTAAGTGCACAACTCAAACATCAGCTCTTTGGTTTCCATTGTGGGTCCAGATATGCTCCACAAGATCATTAAGTAGCTGCGCGTGCACCTGATGATCTCGAAGATTCTGATGCATTTGTAGAAACTTCATAAGCTGAGTTGGATCTTGATCTTCCAGGAATTCAACTTGTTCTCCAGGTGCTTCAAAATCATTGGTTTGAGCTACACCATCACCCTCATTCTCGACAATCATATTATGCAAAATAACACAACATGCCATGAGCTACCACAAAGTTTTTGATTCCCACATCATTGCAGCTCCACGAACAATTCCCCAACGAGCTTGAAGCACTTGGAATGCCCTCTTCACATCCTTCCTAGCTGCTTCCCGCATTGTTGCAGAGTGGCTCTGTTTCCTGCCCTGTGGTTCGGATATGGTCTTCACAAATGCCACCCACTGAGGATAGATGCCATTAGCAAGATAGTATCTCATGTTGTAGCCTCAGCCCGTTGACGATGTAGTTGCACGGTGGTGATTCCCCATTGCAAAGCCTCCGGAACACCGAAGATCGTTGAAGCACATTGATGTTGTTGTGAGACCCGACATTCCAAAGAAAGCATGCCAAATCCATAACTCATGTGATGTCACCGCTTCTAGTATGATGGTGGCCTCTTTGGTGTGACCTTGATACATTCCCCGTAAACCTTTGGGGCAGTTCTTTCATTGTCAATGTATGCAATTAATTGATCCGAGCGTTCCTGAAAACCATCTAGCCTCTCCAATATCCAACAGCTTCTCCGTGTCCTATGCATTTGGTTCTCTTAGATACTTAGCTCCAAACACCTACACTATGGCGTGGGCAAACTTGACAGTTGTCTTCAAGCATGTGCTCTCCCCCATCCTGAACATCTCACCAACGACATCTACGGCAGTACCAAGTGCATCATCCTCAGAGCAACCGTGCACTTTAGCTTAGCACAGAAAGAAAGTTGACCATAGCAATCCCGTCTGAGCTTGAAGTAGTCATCGTGTGCTTCAGCTTCCACACCCTCCTCAATGTGCAAAAACAATGGTTTCCGCATGCAAAAACAGCAAAGAAACCATAGATCCTCCGGGAAAGTAGGGTTCGGAGCAAAGTAGTCCTTCTGCAGTAGCCGTGCTCCGGACACCCTATTCCAATTGTTCACTCTTCTCCCTTTGATTGAGATCTTCAAGTCAAGAATATATATGCTCCACTTGCCGATCCATATCCTCTTGCATGCTCATGAGCATGATCATATCCACTTCTTCGCCCGAATCCGAGGAATCGAAGAACTCATCTTGAATCATTTGATCAAGCTCCGTCTGCCCATACTCCTCGTCCGGCAAAGCATCGGAATTTATCATTTCCCTAAAAAAATCACAAAAAACTAGGTCGGACAATGTGTCAAACACATAGAGTGCAAGGGGGAGCTCGGGAGTTGCCGGATGTACCGCAATGGCGTCCGCGCCGACAACGACGTCCTCGGCATCGAGGATGGTAGACAGGAGTGTTGTGCCGGTGCTGGCGGCGCAGATGCTCGGAATGGCCGCGGAGTGCGCGCGGCAGCAGAGCTGCGAGATGGCGGTGCCATAAAACACCCGCAACCGTTTGAACTGACGCATCGGGATGTTTTTTTTACTATCCAAAGCGGTGTAAAATGTCGGATGCGTTCGCGTGTCCGAATTCCCACAAACCGAATGCAAAGTTAGAGGATGTTTGCGGGAGTATGGACCGGGCACGTAGTGCGCCTCATGCCTCCTATTGTTATACTAGCTCGGTAGAACATTAACCCAACAGACACCTGGGACTCAGTTTGGAACTTAACCTATCTAACCAGGATTAAAATCTTTATTTGGAGGGCGCTCCATAGCGCCATTCCCTGTCGCGGTATTCAGGCGAACAAACATTTGAAGATAAACACGAGCTTCCCTGTAACTTGCCCCTGATACCATAAGAAACCTACTGTTTGAATGCAAGGCGGTCGTGGAGGTTTGGAAGCTCCTTGGGATCAATGAGATCATCAAAAAGGCGTGCTAGCCAACAGGGCAGGTGAAGTGATTTTGGAGGACGTGTGTGTCTTCCTGAGCAAGATGTCCAAGTCCTTGGGCTACCAAAGTTGAAAGAAACAGTGGCGACCGTAGCCTAGTACTTGTGGTATGAGCGTCGTAAGTTGACACACAAAGAAGAAACACAAAATGCTGCTCAAATTAATATAGCAGTGAGATGTTTAGGAGCTAACTATATTATCTCATACAGTCCTACGGCCGAAGTGAGATCAGACGCTTGGTTGAAACCAAGATATGGCAACGTGAAGGTAAGCGTTGATGTGGCTTTTGATGTATACATGCTCTAGGGGATGGTTGGAGCAGTCAATCGAGACCATCATGGAAACTTCATTGCAGCTGCAAATGAAAAGATTGAATTTTGATTTGACTCATTCACGGTGGAGGCATTTACAGTGAGGTTTTGAATGAACCTGGCACGTACAGTTGGATGCAGTAAGATCGAGGTCAACTCTGATAGTGTGGAGGTTGTTGCTGCCCTAATCGATGGTTACCCTTGTTCAGTAGCTTCTGCTATCTTTGATGTGTTATTTTATGTTGCTTGACTTTACTCATGTCATCTATGATCATTGTAATAGAGAAAGAAATCAAATAGCTCATGAACTAGCTAGGATAGCTAGATTTTTTCCTCCAAATATCTGGATGGACACAACCCCGGATGTGGTT